TGGTACAATTTCAATGTGGCAAAAACAGAGAAAAATGTCGGTACGGCTACAATCTGTCTGTTTTGTAAGAGAGATAAGCTCAAATTACTTTCAATTATGTTTCATTTTAAAGCGTCTAAAAATTGAGAAATGTTTAATGATTTTAGAGAAGTGACAAAGAGAAGCGGTTCTAAATCTATCTTAAGAAAGTACAAACTCTTGTGGTGTCATTTGGAGTTCAAAAAGAACCAAGAACCAGAATCAAAAATATTTTGACTCCGATCATTTCCACTTTTCTGCCACTTCTTGCAGATTAATCCCACCCAGCACCTGATCACTGTGGTCTCCAACAGTAGCAGCTTTCTCTACCGATAGGAGAAACAAAACCTGCCAAGAAATCCAACAAAAGGCATTTTTTAACATTACAGTGCCACAGTGAGACCAGTCTGCCTTTTAGCTACCTCTGTTCATGTCTTCCTGCACAATGAAGCTGCCAAAGCAGAACAGTGACAGTAGCACTGCTGGTTACAACGGACCACGGCTCACGTCGACCCCCCACTCCACGCCTACTCACCCACTCAACTTTGTGACAACCTTCCTAGGCATAAAAGTCAAACTCCAGGCTGCCTCTTCTTCACATGAGTCACACAGAGGAGGTAGGAAGGAAACTCAGGCCTCACTGATTTGTAAAAGAGTCTGCGGTGTTTACGTCACACGTCGACTCGCAGGATAATCGTTTGATTGGGTTTGATCGCATCTGCTGGAAGCAAACCCAATCTAAGACCACCCGCCAGATTCTGAAGCAGCGAAAAGGAGCTCATGCTAACACCACATGTTCAGAGTTTACAGTAAAACTGATTAATGCTTTCTGTACCCTGGTTATTCAGGCTAAACCTTTTATCCGCATGACGGAGAACGCGCAGAGTAAAATTCGTACCTGTCCCTGCGCCGGTGCCGGGCCAAGGGTCTGATTTCGATGCAGGTGGCTGTGCAGCCTGTGAGAGGCTTTGTTCTTGAGCACAGCGGGGCGCGGCGTAGGCTGACATCTGCAATCCACGTGATCCACAACCGAAACCACAACCTTAGAATAAGTGGGTCTTTCGTTGAACACGATCTTCGTGACCTGGAGAGGTTGAGAAGAAGAAGACGGGAGTCACTGGGAGGTAACAAATGGAGGTTAAATAACCAGAGCTGCAATTTTCTGTTGCTTCTCAGAGTGAACTACTTGAAAAGCACAGAGAAAAAAGATGCAGAGCAAATCTTTTACATTTTATGCGTGACTAGCCTCGTCGGTGTTTGGTTGGCTGTAAACTAAAAATCTTATTTTTTTCCAGCCAGTAAATGCAACATGTATAAGCACTAATGGGAAAACGACACTCTTTTACGTGGAAGTTGTTACCAAGCTAAACTAATTTCAATTTTTGTCAGGTGATCTTTAAGAAAATCTTAGTGTTTTTTTTAAATAATTAAACACCTGTTGATATATTTTTAAATTTATGTAGAAAGTTACAAAAAATGTTTTGCTATTAATTACAGTTCTTATTCTCAATTACTTTCAGATAAGCTCAAAATTTCTAATAGTCCAGAGGGAATTAAAGATGACGGTAAGAAGGCCTTCCAACATCACCAAAGATAAAGCGTCAAAGACCTGCTGAAATATACAAAAAGCAATCATGAAACAGCTGTAATTGCTCTAAAGCTAACAGTTTTTTCTACTGATTATTAAAAAGGCTGCATGTAACAACAGAATGCTTCTTTCTCATTGTTTTATTATCCTTTGGGAGATATCTGTCGTTTATATCAGAAACAAACATCTTAAATCCAGTGGTGGGGAGTAACGAAGTACAAGTACAAGTACTTCGTTACTGTACTTAAGTACAATTTTCGTGTATCTGTACTTTACTTAAGNTGTGCAGCCTGTGAGAGGCTTTGTTCTTGAGCACAGCGGGGCGCGGCGTAGGCTGACATCTGCAATCCACGTGATCCACAACCGAAACCACAACCTTAGAATAAGTGGGTCTTTCGTTGAACACGATCTTCGTGACCTGGAGAGGTTGAGAAGAAGAAGACGGGAGTCACTGGGAGGTACTCCGAGTTCAAGAAAAAAAAAGAAAAAAACGTTTTGTGGGGACGCTATGACGAATATATGCTTTTGAATGTTTGCTTTTTTGTACTCAAAAAGGAGCTGTTGCTAGGCAACAAATGGAGGTTAAATAACCAGAGCTGCAATTTTCTGTTGCTTCTCAGAGTGAACTACTTGAAAAGCGCAGAGAAAAAAGATGCAGCGCAAATCTTTTACATTTTATGAGTGACTAGCCTCGTCGGCGTTTGGTTGGCTGTGAACTACAAATCTTACTTTTTTCCAGCCAGTGAATGCAAAATGTATAAGCACTAATGGGAAAACAACACTCTTTTATGTGGAAGTTGTTACCAAGCTAAACTAATTTCAATTTTTGTCAGGTGATCTTTAAGAAAATCTTAGTGTTTTTTATAATTAAACACCTGTTGATATATTTTTAAATTTATGTAGAAAGTTACTGTTAAGGAAGAATATCTACATTAGTTAATTTTGGAAAAAGATTGGCTTTCTCTCTTCCTTTTGAATCCCAGGTCCTCCTGGCGGGCCGCGTGTAGCCACAAGGAAAACAACAATGCGTGTTGACGTCACAGAATTACAGAGTTTAATCCAATATAAGACAATGTATAAACTTACACAGAAACTGCAGAACAACAGAGACATACATTCATTTACCTGACATAAATGGAAAGAAGAAAAGAAAGAAAAGCAAAGATGTGCAAAGACATCTTTTGGAGAGTTGCAAGAGCAAATCTGATTTGTTACTTCTGTGTAGAAAGTTTTATAGTTAAGTCATATTCTTATCTTTAATTTATTCAAATAAGGCGTATCTTTGCTCATCCAACCAGGAGCTATCTCTGACCCTCTCTAAAGCAAGGAACTCCTGCTGTGTTTACGGCTTTTCACAGATGAGTGTGAAAAGCTAGAACTTCTACTGTATCGTTTTCCCACACAGACAAAAGGCAATTCAAACGATCCTAGCAAACCATCTGCTGTAACTACAGGTAAAATAAAGGTCAAAAAGCCAGAATATGTTACTGATTTTAAAACTATAATTAGGCCATTTGAATCAAGACATGTTGGGTTTTAAAACTAGCTTATTTTAAATTTATTTTCTCAACATTACAAAAAATGTTTTGCTATTAATTACAGTTCTTATTCTCAATTACTTTCAGATAAGCTCAAAATTTCTAATAGTCCAGAGGGAGTTAAAGATGACGGTAAGAAGGCCTTCCAACATCACCAAAGATAAAGCGTCAAAGACCTGCTGAAATATACAAAAAGCAATCATGAAACAGCTGTAATTGCTCTAAAGCTAACAGTTTTTTCTACTGATTATTAAAAAGGCTGCATGTAACAACAGAATGCTTCTTTCTCATTGTTTTATTATCTTTTGGGAGATACCTGTTTATATCAGAAACAAACGTCTTAAATCAAAGGGAAATAATTGAACATCTAAGTCTGTTTGGGACAGGAACCAATTTTGGGTTTAACTCTTTCTACTTGCTAATCGTTATGACCAAGCATGCTCATTTACCGTCAGGTTTCTGGTGCTTGTGGAATTGGAAACACACTGAATGTCCCTGCTGGTGCAGCAGCCAGAGCAGCGCTGGACTTCCACGCACGGTGGGAACAGCAGAAAGTTGGCGCTGGTGCGGTCCACCATGTCTCTGGTGAGCTCGACCACTTCTGAGCGAACTTTACATCGAGCCTGCTTGGCGCGCTCAGGGACTGAGGAAGCAAACACGACACGCTACGGCGTCAGCGGCACGTTCTGAGGTTTGATGAGCCAGACAATGCGTACTTCTCTGCTCGAGAGTTTGAGTTTTTCTGTTGTTGACACACAAGGACGTGCATTGAAAAGCAGAAACACTGAGTAGGTTTTATTCAAAGATTAGCAAAGGTCAGTTGTAGATCAGCATCTGGAAATTTTGAGTTCTGCTTCATGAGAACAACAAAAAGGTTAATGGGAAAAGATTTTCCCTCCGTCACAAAAATTATGAATCATCTCCCAGACGGACTGGCAGAGCGTTCCTTAGCCATCATAACGAGTTTCCTCATAGGACAAACAACGCAAAAATATGTAAAAAATAAAATAAAATGATCACAACAACCAAATAAAGAGAGATAAAGAGAGGTTTGGCTCACCGGGGCTGCGTGGAAGTCTGTGACCTCCGTTGGCTGCAGAGTTAGCTTCCTCCTCATCTGAGACAGCAACACAAACATCATTTATCCCAGTAGAAGAAGACAAAACGCTGACTGTGCACAGAAACCAGGAGCGGTCATGGTACGCTACGGTTTCAAAATGTCTTGTTTTAATGTTTTTGTTTCATTTCTTTAACCTTTACCATTTTAGTCCCACTGAGATCAAAGATCTGTTTTATGAGGAAGACCTGGCCAAGACATAAAACTTAATATAAATGTTTTTGTAGTTAAAACTCCTCCTAGTACAGAAAGGGCAGAAGTAACTTTTTTTTTCCAGCTGTGTAGAGCAGAGAGTCAATATGGTGCTGCCCCTCCTCCACCCATTGCTGTGCACTGCCTGCAAGCTGGCTAAGAAAAAAACTGTAAAAATGGAAAGTTTGGACACATTTCCAGAAATGGAAAACCTATGAATCTT